GCCAACCTTAGATTTCCATCATGCGAGCGTGAACCTGCTGCGCGTGGTGGCAGGGGCCCCGTCCGTCGAGGCTGAGGGTCTGCGAACTCCATCACTCAGAGCTGAGGTTCCCCCTCTCGGCGTCAGTGGTCCAGACCTGACGCAGACTCTGCTCCTAATTCGTGTGTGACCACAGGCAAGCTCAGGGTCTCCCTGGCTCTCCATTCTCTTAAGAATGAGGTGGAGTGAGGGGTGGTTGTCCTAGCTCATTTCCGTTGTTGCTTTCGGATCTTACACCTTGAATACAAGATGTTTAATTTAATTTAAAGCACACCTCAAGTATCGAAATACAACAAGTTGTACCTTAGGAGTTTTATTTTCCTCTGAAGTTTATAGTCTTTCTTTCTTTCTTTCTTTCTTTCTTTCTTTCTTTCTTTGGGAGAGATTTTCACTATAGGGCGCATGCACTCGCCAGAAAGACAGAGAGACAGAAAGCGAGAAATCACCCCCAGGGGGCGATGGCCACGCTGCAATCCCTTCTCCTCCATTCTCTCAGGATCTTGGGCACGCACGCACATGCGCCCGGCGTGAGTTTTAGGCCTGAGTCTGGGACTTGAACCGCGGTCGACTACCTGGGAGTCCAGCGACATAGCCTTTACGCTAACTGCTGGTCCTGTTACAGCCCTGCGTATGCTCTCTCAGGGCTGGCTCCGTGGCACAGCAGTAATGCGCCGCTCAGGGGAAGCCAGTCCTGCACCGCAGCCAGAAGGGCTCGGCTCCCGCGGGCTGGAGGACGGGAATGGTGGCCCGGATGCTGGACGGCGCTCATTTCCCACTCTCTTCCCATGCACGTGCTCTATTACGAATGAAAAAAAATAAGGTATTTTTTGGTTTGATTTTTTAAAGAATAAACATGCTCCCTCAGATTTTTTTTTTTTTTTTATGGAGAGGTTTTTCTTTTTTTGCTATAGGATGCATGCACTTGCCAGAAAAACAGAGAGAGACAGAGAGACAGAGAGCGAGAAATCACCCCCCAGGGGGGATGGCCACGCCACAATCCCTTCTCCTCCATTCTCCTCTCGGGATCTTGGACACGCACGCACACGCGCTCGGCGTGAGTTTAGGCCACTGGGTCTGGGACTTGAACCATGGTCTACTACATGGGAGTCCAGCGACATAGCCATTACGCCAACTGCTGGTCCTGCTCCCTCAGATTTAAAAACACAGTAACCGAGCTCTGAGTAAGCCACCTTCTTGGACCACTGGGCGATTGTATTCTGGAAAACTTCCATCGTGTAACTTGTTTCAGCTGAAATTCTCAGCTGTCCATTTGTGTTTTCCATTTTATTATTGAAAATTTAAAACAGGGACCAGCAGGTGGCGTGGTGGTTAAGGCGCTGGACACTCCCACATGGCCAACCAGGGTTCAAGTCCTGGACCTGGTGGCTTGTTTTCTTACTTCCTCTCTCTCTCACTCTCACCCTCTGTCTCTCTCTGGTCAAATTAAAAATCAATGAATGAATAAATAAAAAATAAAATAAATAATTATTTTTAAAAAAAATTTTAAAAAAAGAAAATTTAAAACATATACGAAAGAATGATATAATGAGCTACCATGGACCTATCACCCAGCCTCAATAATTACCCACATTTTGTCCACCTTATTTCACCTCCTTCTCACCTCATCACACTTTTGGCAGAAGGGAGTGAAGTAACTTTTTTTTTGCTTAGTTTTGTTACAGGGCACACGCACTCACCAGAGAGAGGGAGACAGAAATTACTTCCCAGAGGGAATGGCCACGCTGCATGCCTTCTGCATTCTCCTCTTGGGACTGTGGGCACGTGCGAACACACGCTCAGCATGATTTTTTCAAGCCAACAGGTTTGAACCACAAAGTCGGCCCTGTGGGATCCAGCCCCCCTTAACCTCCACGCCACCTGCTGGCCCATGCTAGAATTTTAAAAGCAAATCTCAGATCTTACCATTTTCCTGGTAAATATCTCACTTCACTTTTGTAACAGGAAAGCGCCCCGCTTCTGCCAAGTACATGCACCTGCAGCCGCCACACTCACCCGATGCTCTGTGAGTCTCTGGTGAGCTCAGTGTGGAATGGGTGTTGGGAGGACAGGGCCCCCGTCTGGGTTTACCTCCTTTCCATCTGGAAAAAAGTGGGGGGATTTGTGGGGGGAATCTTGGCACTTGGCCTACCCTTTACAGGACCTCTGGGATGCAGACATGGGAGAGGCCTGTCTCTCAGAGCGGTGGGGGCAGCTAGCGTCTGTGAAGAACTGACTGCACACCTCCATGTGCAGCACCTCGCTCTCACAAAGCTGAGAACGCAGGCTCTAGAAGGAGCTCCCGGAACGGCCTCCGCCTGGTCGGCATCAGGACATTGCGAGGTCAGCCAGGTGCGGGCGGTGGCCGCTCTTCTGCAGCACTGGAAGCTACTCGGCTAACCATAGGTCTGGACCCTGGGCTGACCGGACATGCCCGGCAAAACCTCTCCTGGGATCCTGGCTGGGAAGGGATCAGGGCGTCTGGAGATCCTATAGAGGTGCCCCCGCTTCTCTTTTTTGAACATGCATACATATTCTCACTCTCATGAAAGAAATAAAATATGCTTTTAAAAAAGGACAGGAGAGGGAACCAGCAGTTAGCGTAATGGCTATGTCGCTGGACACCCACGTAGTCGACCGCGGTTCGTGTCCCGGATCCGGTGGCTTAAAACTCACGCCGGGCGCGTGTGCGTGCGTGCCCAAGATCCCGAGAGGAGAATGGAGGAGAAGGGATTGCGGCGTGACCATCCCCCCTGGGGGGTGATTTCTCGCTTTCTGTCTCTATGTCTCTCTCTGTCTGTCTGGCGAGCGCACGCGCCCTACAGTGAAAATCTCTCCAAAAAAAAAAAAGGACAGGAGAGGGCCAGCTGGTAGCAAAGTGGTTAAGGGGCTGAACTCCCACATGGCCGACCGCAGTTCGAGTCCCAGACCTGGTGGTTTGAAACTCACATGGGCACGTGTGCTCGTATGCCCAAAATCCCTAAAGGAGAAGAGAGGAGAAGGGATTTTGGCGTGGTCATCTCTCCAGGAGGTAATGTCTCACCTTCTCTTTCTCTGTCTCTCTGGCAGGCACATGCTCCCTATAGCAAAAAAAAAAATCAACAAAAAAAAGGATGAGAGGGAGAAAAAAAAAATCGTGGTTTTACCAAGACCCCATACTGAAGCAGTAGGAAATTCCCACTAAATGTCAACACATGATTTGTTAGTTAAGTAGACGTTTAATTCCTGTAGAAAAAAATAACCCGTTTGGGACCAGCAGATGGCGTAATGGTTACATTGCTGGATTCCCATGTAGTCAAGCATGGTTTGAGTCTGGACCCTGCAGCC